AACCTCAATCAAAATCTCGGTAGGTTTTTTTTTTAACTGAAATTAACAGGCTGATTCTAAAATTCATATAGAAATACAGTGGGCCAAGAACAGCCAAATCTTGAAGAAAAATGAAACGGAAGAGTTTTATCCTATCAGATATTAATACCTATTATAAAGTTACAGTAATTAAAATAATTGGTTATTAGCACAAGAATAATAAAATGACAAATGGAAAATAAGAAAGAGTTCAGAAACAAATCTACACATGCAACGTAGCCTGATTCATGACAAAGGCAACACTACAGTTCAGTGGGGAAAAAGTGATTTGTTTAATAAATGGTGTTAGGTCAATTAGACATCCACATGTGAAAAAAATATGTTGATCTTTACTTGATATATACAAAAATCAGTACCAGATGGACGGCAGATCTAAACACAAAAGGTCAAATAAAGCTCGTAAAGAAAATATAAGCCGGCGGCTCACACCTGTAATCCTAGCACTCTGGGACACTGAGGCAGGGGGAGGATCGCTTCAGCTCAGGAGTTTGAGAGTAACCTAAGCAAGAGCAAGACCTGTCTCTACTAAAAATAGAAAAATTAGCTGGGCATTGTGGCGTGCGCCTGTAATCCCAGCTACTTGGGAGGCTGAGGCAGGAGGATTGCTTGAGCTCAAGAGTTTTGAGGTTGCAGTGAGCTATGATGATGCCACTGCACTCTACCCGGGTGACAGAGCGAGGCTCTGTCTCAAAGAAAAAAAAGGAAAACAAGGAAAGAAAATCTTTTTGTGGACTTAAAGTAGGTATTTTTTTTAAAAGCACTAACCATAAAAGAAAAAGGTTTAATTGGATTATAATAAAGTTAAGAGCTTCTGTTCATTGAAACATACTTATTAAGATCATACAGATGGCTAGGCTTGTGTGGCTCATGCCTATAATTCTAGCACTTTGGGAGGCTGAGGCAGGAGGATTGAGGATTGTCTGAGGCCAGGAGTTCAAGACTAGCCTGGGCAACATAGTGAGACCCCATTTCTACAAAAAAACTTTAAAATTAGTCAGGCATGGTGGCATGTGCCTGTAGTCCCAGCTACTGGGGGAGCCTGAGGCAGAAGGATCACTTGAGCCCAGGAGTTTAAGGTTGAGCTATGATAATGCCACTGCACTCTAGCCCAGGCAACAGAGTATTGTAAATAGTTGTTATATTGTATGGCTTTTTTATTTATATTATTTTTGGTTTTTATTGTTATCTTTCATTTTATTATTATTTTCTTAAGAGACAGGGTCTCATTCTGTCCCAGGCTGGAGTGCAGTGGCACAATCATAGCTCACTGCTACCTGGAACTCCTAGGCTCAAGGGATCCTCCTGCTTCCGCCTTCCGAGGAGCTGGGACTACAGACATGTGCCACCACACCCAGCTAATTTTTTTCATATTTTTAGACTCAGAGGTCCAGCTACGTTATCCAGTTTGGTCTTGAACTCCTGGCTTCAAGCAATCCTCCTACCTCAGCCTCCTGGGTAGCTGGGAATACAGGTGAGAGCCACCCTGCTTCCACAACTCCGACCCCTACAGCTTTTTTTTTTTTTTTTTTTAATATTTTTGATGGGGTGGTTGAATCTGTGGATATGGAACCCCTGGATATGGAGGGCCAACTATATATCCAACAAGGACTTGTATCAGGTGTATGTAAAGAATTCTTCTAAATCAGTAAGAAAAAGACAACCTCATAGAAAAATATGCAAAAACCTTGAAGTGGCTTCACAAAAGTGGACATACAATAGGCCAATAAATACATTAAAAGTCTTAACTTCCTTATCAGTGAAATACAAATTAAAACCACAAGAAGACAGCAGGACATAGCCACCAGAATGATAAAAGAAAAAGACTGAAATTAGCAAGTGTTGGTGAGGATATGTAGCAATGGGACTTCTCATACACTCCTGTCAAGAGTATAAATTGGTACAACCACCTTGGAATAATGTTTGGCAGTATCTATAGAAGGTGAATATTTCCTACGACCCAGCAATTCCACTCCTAAGTATCTAACCATTAGAAATATGTTTAACAGGCCGGGCGCGGTGGCTCACGCCTGTAATCCTAGCACTCTGGGAGGCTGAGGCGGGCGGATAGTTTGAGCTCAGGAGTTCGAGACCAGTCTGAGCAAGAGAGAGACCCCATCTCCACTAAAAATAGAAAGAAATTGGCCAAACAACTAAAAATAGAAAAAATTAGCTGGGCATGGTGGTGCATGCCTGTAGTCCCAGCTACCTGGCAGGCTGAGGCAGGAGATCGCTTGAGCCCAGGAGTTTGAGGTTGCTGTGAGCTAGGCTGATGCCACTGCACTCTACCCCAGGCAAGAGAGTGAGACTCTGTCTCAAAAAAAAAAAAAAAGAAATATGTTTAACAAAATACATAATAAAAGGTTCACAGTAGCACTAGTAGTTTAAAGTTGGAAACTATCCAACAACCATCAACGAAGAATGGATTAAAAAATGGTCATATATTCACATGGAATACCATGCAGAAATAAAAAAATGTTCAAGCAACAATATGGATGAATCTCACAAACAAAGCCAGGGAGCAAAAAAAGTGAGACACAAAAGAGCATATAAATGAAATTACACAGAGTGTAAACAATAAAAATAGATAAAACTAATCTATGTTAGTCATTATAAGTCTCAACAGTGGTTATCTTTGGGGTAAGGACTAATGACTAAAAAGGACCAAGAGGGAGCTTCTGGTATGCTGATGATGTTCTGTTTGTTGATCTGGGTGCTAGTTACATGCGTGTGCTCAACATACAAAAATATGTCAGTCTGCACATTTGTGATTTGTATACTTTCTTTATGTAAATTATACTGCCATAAAAGTTAATGTGTATAACAAAAAGCAAATAAATTAAACAGCAAACTGGAAAAATTTTTCTACAAATATGGCAAAGGTTTAGTAATATATGAAGAACTCACACAAATCAATTTTTAAAAAGCTAGCATCTAATAGAGAAATTGGCAAGAAATATGAAGAGAAATGCTCAAAAACATTAAAATGGCCATTAAATGTATAAATGTACAAAATGTAAATTAAAACAATGGGATGCTATTTTTTCTTATCAAATTAACAGAGCTTAAAGGAAACTAATAAGGCTGTTGCTGAGGATTTGGTGAAACTAATAACCTCTTATTCTTAATGGCAATGAGAACTGGCACTATCTTTCTGCATAAGTATTAAATGTTCATATCCTTTGACCCTTTCTACTTCTAGAAATCATTCTAAGGAAAATCAGAGTTACAATTAAACATAGGCTTGTATCAGTGTTGATTACAATGGTGAGTATTTTGAAACAATGTACCTATCCAATAATGTGAAAATGGCTACATTATGATACATGTACATGATGGGATATTATTAATAATTTTTCCAAAGAATGATGAATGTGAAAAGATTGATGATAAATTCAAGTGAAAAATATATACAAAATTCTATGTGGTATACCTTTTGTGTTAAAAAATACTACACACACATAAGTACATTTACACAGAAAAAAAGTCTGTAAGAACACATACTATACAGTTAATAGTAGCCATCTTTGGGTGGTGGGATAATGGATGATTTTCATTTTTTTGGCTTATTTTCTGCAGTAAATGTTCTTTGAGCATGTATTACTATTATATTTAGAAATCAAAGAAAATTATGGGGTAAAAAAAATACATCCACCCAGTTTTCCTCACCTAGAAATCTAAGCAACCTAGATTTCTCTCTCCTTCAACTCTCATATTCAATCTGTAATTGTTATTTCGATTTAACTCAGAAATGTCTATCCAAGCTGTTATTCCATTATTCCTTCTCTCATTTCCAAATTCAGGCCCTTGTCTTCCCTAATGAACTGACATCTAGACTCTTCATTTCAGTAAAATGGCCACATTTTCCACTATTTCTACATTGTAGCCACATCAAACCACTTTATATAGCCACCTTCCACCACACCCAAGCCCCTACTTTCACACCTCCCAACCTTGGCATACTCAGTTCCCTTTCTATGTAATACATTTTTCCTTTCGGTCTTCCTAATTCGATTCATAGTTCAAGATTCACCCTGGATATCACTTACTAGGTGTGACCTCTTAGAGACTGCAAGAAGAGATGGCCATTTCCAAATTAATCCTCCAATGACAGTTTGTACATATTTCAATATTTAACACTGTACTGTCAGTGCCTCGCTCTCCCGTTGCAAGGCACTGGTCACTTCTTTTTTAAAAATTTCTTAAAATCTAGTTGGATGATCAAAAGTAAAGCGGATCTGCAGGGGTGTGAGCTTTGACCTGTGTCTGATAGAAAAATGGCACCAGAAATACTCGTCTGATTTTTTTCATTCAAGATGGCAGAGAATGTCTTAAAACAGTCCCACACAAAAGCACTCAATTACAGAGCCTTGAGTCAGAAGAACTGGCTACATCTAGCAAAGGACAAAAGAATCGAATCTAGATGCTGAGATGCTCTGGCTCTAACCACCCACGGTAGGTCCCACATACATAGACTTTAAACCGTGTTAGAAAACTGGCACCTGCTGCCTTCATTCCGAGGGCCACGCCTTGACTGTGAACAGTGACCTGAGGCACCTCTGGATACTGACCCAAAAAATCGAGAATGAAAAAGGAGGCGGCTAAGTTGTGAGTATCTAAAATGCACGATTCGGCCCCGCCCAGCCAGACGCACTCCCCCCAACGGCGCATCCATTCCCCGGGGAATGAACAGACAGGGCTCCCGCCCATGGGCCTGGCAACCCGGCCCGGGCTGGGAATTCAGGGCGGGACTGAGGCAGAAGCCAGCCACCGCCAAGGCGCCTCACGCTACACCTGTCAGGCTGCGACCGACACTAGGCCCCTAAATCGCGGGGGTTCGGTGGTCGAGGCCAACAGGAGCGCGTCACCCGATATCTCGCCCCGGGATCGCCTTGCCTCCTCGCTTTAACCTCTCGTCCTTCTCAAACAAAAGCAATCCACACCCACCGCCATTTTCCACTTACCTCAAAAACCACCTCTTCGTCAAACTCCGGTGTCATCCTTCTCCGCCATGCCACCCGCCTCAGCACGATGGGAAATGAAGGCGGGAGAACAGGCTACACCGATACTTCGGCTTCTGCCCGTCCTATGGATCTAGAAAACTACAATTCCCAGCATGACTCGCCGCTCACGCCCCCTTTTCAGGCCCGCTTATTGGAGCAGAGGGTGAGCGAGTGAGCAGGAGGGGCGGGAGCGGGAGGAAGCTGGAGCCCTCCAATTGGTGGAGGCTAGGGCTTTTGTCTGACTTTTACAGCCGCGACAAGCAGAGGGCGCCAGGAGCACTGATTTTTTTTTTTTTTTTTTTTTTTTTTTTTTTTGGAGCTGAAGAAGGGCACGCGCCGGCGAAGTCGCTGTGAGCACTGCTCGTGCCCGCGCCTGGCTGTCCGCCCGGAGTACGGCGGGGCGGCGCTCGTGCTCGCCCGCCAGCCGCTGGCGGCTCGCGCCCGGGAGCGCCGCAGGGTCGCTGGAGCTGGCCGCATCCTTTGTGCGGCGCTGGGGCTGCGCAGCGGGGCAGCGGGACGGAATGTGGGCGCTGCGGGGGCTTTTCTCTTCTTCCCAAACTCTGGAAACAATGGACTGAGAGGGGAACATGGATTGAGGGGCGCGAGCGGGGAGGCGAGCCGCACGGGGAATCATGACTTCTGCTGCGGGTAAGTGACGGCGCTCGCGCTGCCGCTGGAAAGTTTGTAGCGAGCGCTTCAAGGCTTGGGCTCTCGAGCAACTTTCTCCGCTGGGGTGGGCGAGTTGTGTGCTCTCTATCTTTCCCGAGCACGTCGGCAAGTGCGGAGCCCAGGGCGTTTATTGCCGGATTTCTCGTCCCTTCCTGCCGAGAGGGGCTGTTTGGAAATCGAGGATCTCTTGGGACCCCCCCTTCAAAGGGAGGCCCGTCCGGGGGGCTCTCTTTGCGCCTGGTGAAACGCTAAATGTGAAGAGAGGGCATTTGCTCAACTCTTCAACAATTTGAGTGACTTTGCCTTTGCGTATGAAAACGGTGTCGCTTCCCATGTTAAGAAATCAGTTATTCTAGGAAAGGGCAATGTTCCCAGGATATTGCACTCGGGGACTATGCTGAGTCGCTTTAAACCTAGTATCGGCTGGAAACCCTTACCCTTACTAGATAAAGAGACTTAGACTTTGTGACTCTTGTCCTGGTCTTTTTACTTCTGTTACCTGAGAAGCAGAAGAGAAGGATTGCTCATGGCAATTGTTTTGCTCATCTTCACCCAATTTCTTGTGGATTTTTCTTCCTATTTCTCCCTAGTCAGTGTAAACAAAGCCTATTTTCTGTCTGCTTCCCATAGTCCTTTTCCACTCATCCAGATGACAAAGCCTGTATTTACCTTTGTGTAGATTTTGAGCAATTCTGGACATTGTATTTCTGAACATTCTTAAGGAACAGTTTTTATATTTCAAAATAATTGCTAGTGTTACATTCACTTCATAAAAGCATAGTTTAATTTTTAAACCAGAACTTAATACCGTGTTAAGTAAAATACTAAGGGCTTTTTTTTACACTTTTTGTCCACGTTGAAAGAAACTTTCATTAGAAATTTTGTAGTATGATAGTTTAAAGCTTTCCTTCAAAGTTACTTCTAGAATCAACACTTAAGTATTAGGTTAAATTTTCATTGCTTTTCTTGGCATTTTTTAAAAATTCCTGCAACTCGAAACTGTCAAACAGCACTCCAAATGTTCTGATTTGTATTATTTCTAAAACCTACATATATTATAATGTTACATTGCTAGGTGTAATCAGATTACAACTAAGGAAACCAGAAGTTAGCCAATAGGAAAAGAAAGCAATGAGTGAAGTTTTCCTGTAGAAGATGTCATGGATCTTCCCTTTTGATGTTATAAGTAGGTATATGAGATATGTCATCATACACTGTTGTAGTGATAGTCTTTATAAACTCTCTTTTCTTCAACAAAAGGAGACTTTCTACCTACATAAGGTAAATTATTTTCATCCTTCCTTTTTTTACACAAATGTATTTAAAATATTCATATCTTATATGTATCAGTTTTCAATTCCAGTCCTAACAATTTATAATAAACACGTACAGAAGCATTTAATTTGACATTTATACATGTAAACCTAATTTCTAGGGCCCAGTCTGGAATTTTATCATTCTTTCATTTGAATGACCCTAGAATAATAAGCTATTTTTATATTTTATCAACTTTATAATTAAAGAAGTCCACAGACATTTTTGTGGTGCTTAAAAGAGGGACACTTCCTGTGTCTAGCTGAGTTAGTTGGTTTTTAGCATGGCTTGCTGAGAAGCATTAACTACTTTTTTGCTCACCCATCTGTTAAGATTTATTATAATTCTTTCTTGTGTCTAAATGAGGACTATGGAAGAGAACTGGATTTTATTTCCACCCCATTCTTATAAAACGATGTATACATAGTTCTTACAAGCTGATTATCGTGCCTTTTTGGAACAGTAGTCAAATTCATTAAAACTTTTAGAAAAGTTATCTGCAACTTGGGGAGGGGATGTTTGTTTCTGATATAATCTGTGATATTTGGGAGGGTTGGTTTAATTTAAGAAAATGAGAAGAATGTTGTAGAATATCTAAGTTGCACGTATCCTGAAGAAAAGCTTGCTTTGTTTTTCTGCATCTGTGACAGAATGGATCCTTAGTAGAGATTTTAGAGTATTCTAAGCAGTATATGAAAGAGGTGAGAGAATTATAGGTGAATATTTTATGTTTTTGAACATGTACAGGTCATTGTCTGATTAACGTCTGTGCTTTGCTTTTTGGCTGGTCCAATAGCCAAGAGAGTGTACACGTGAACCACAGCCATCTGTGTGTAACAGATGACGAGTATGTTTGTAATAGTTAGTAAAATAGTTACTAGTGCTTTACTTTCTTACCTTATATTTCCCTGGAGCCAAACAGCTGTGTAAATAAAAGATTTGCTGCTTTGCTCTAGGAAGCTTTGGGTCTGACTGTTGATACAGTATTAAGATCCAAAGGTGCTGGATTCATTGCCAAACATCATGCACTTACTTCAAGAGTTTGACATTGGAGCAGACTATAATAATGGCTTATTATATAATGGCTTATTATTTTTTGAGTTGTGTTTCTTTCAAAATAGAGCCATTAAAAATAATAATAATAATGAAAGATTTTGGATATTGCTATACCAGTGACTTAGTTGAATACTTGTTCCTATTAATAATTAAGGAATTATTTAATAATCCTATTCAAGTTGATTGCTGCTCACTTTTCAAAATATTATTCTACATTAAAATGGATATTGATTTTTTTTAAAAAAGAAATTTCCTGTTTCCCGAGACTTATTAAAGAGTATGTGTATGTGGCAGCTCTGATTATTCCCAGGCCCTGTTTTCAGTACTGGAAAACAGCAGTGAATGAGACAGTGCCTGCCCTCCTGGGGCTTGTCTTCTAGTGATGAAGACAAAGGTGCACTGAAGAAAAACACAGGTGAAAGAGGCTATAGCATATCAGGGTTCTCTTGAAGCAATTATCTCAGAAGTTATAATCTTAGATTCATATGGGCTTTAGAGATCTGTTCAACTTCCTCATTTACAAGTAAGGAAAGTGAGGCAGCCAGGTCTGCACAAGACACACAGTTAAGTTAGCCAGCTCCCCGAGTTACATTATTGGCTTCCTCCAATACACAGTTAACTAACAATGGCAAGCCGAAGTTCACAGTTATTTGTTGAATTCCCTGCGTATGTGTTGAAAGCTTTAGGTACACAATGCTGTGCCATATTTATTGAGAATCAACCCCAGCTCATATGTAGCTAATTGAATTCCTATGACACTAAGAGAGAACAGGAATTTATGTCTCTTGGAAGCAGACTCATATACAAAACACATTTAAAGAAAAGAGTAAAATTGGTACCAAGAAAAAAAAAAGACTTAACTAAAAAGCAAAAGTGAATTGGTTAAACAACTCTGAAGCTTCTGACAAGGCTCTAAGATCCAGAAAGTAAAAGATTAATTTGATAAGGTGAAGTTTTTTTTTTTAATTGTGGTAAAATACACATAATGTAAATTTAAGATCTTACCATTTTTAAGTGTACAGTTCAGAAGTGTTAAGTATATTCATGTTACACAGCCAATCTCCAGAACTATTTTCATCTTGTAAGACTGATTTTTTAAAAAATTATTTTGCAAATCCCAGAGGTAGGATGTTTTGAGAATGGTTAAAGAAATGAAATCAACATGACAGTCTGTCAGTTTTTATTTAGTTAGATGGGAGGTTGGGAAGAAGCTTAAGGCATTCATACTTTCTCTTAAGACTTGACTTAGTAGAAGAATAGTCCATCACAGCAAGCTTTTTCACTAGGCTTTGAAAGATTTTACCATTAGTTTCTACCTTAAAAAAAAAAAATTCAACCAAAACGAATAGTATGCTTATTGAACAGCTAATTGAAATTGTATAGCTTTAGGAATTTGAATTAAGTTATTTTGAAAAATAATTCATTATCTTCTTTATTTCTGATAACGTTATGCCTAGAAATTGAGTGAGAAGACATCTGTTATCATATAATCTTTGTTGTACACATAGTATTAGGGGTTTGGGAAATTCTTCCTTGGTTGGTAAAAGGAAGTAGAGCACCCTACTAGTTTTTTTTTTTTTTTACTCAGTTCCATGTAATATCTTCCCAAGTGTTGTGACTAATTTCCTTTGTTGAAAAGAAAATCATCATCAGATGAAATATCAAAGCCTCTGCGTATTCAAGTAATTAATTAAACAATATCCAGCAGTCCTTTCCTGCAGATATTTTGAAAAGATTTTTTCAATAAATTGAGGTTTTATTAAGTATTAGATTCTGTTGAAGGAACAAGCATAAGAAGTATAAGGTAAAACACTTTTTACCTCAAGTCTCTTTGGGGAAATATGGATGATAAGTGACAATGTAGGTAGAAGAACTTAAAGGAACTTTAAAGAAATACAGACATACAGGCTCTATATGTCTTTTCATTTTACAGGTCTTTTGTGTAAAGCTTTTTTTTCTTTTGAGATTCAGAGATTGAGTCTCACTCTGCTACATGGGCTGGGGGCTGGAGTGCCATGGCTCAATCATAGCTCATTGCAGCCTTGAACTCCTGGGCTCGAGCAATCCTCCTGCCTCAGTCTCCAGAGTAGCTAGGACTACAGGCGCATGCCACCGTGCCCTGCGAATTTTTTCAATTTTTTGTAGAGACGGGGACTATTGCCCAGGCTGGTCTCAAACTCCTGCCCTTAAGGAATCCTCCTGCCTTGATCCTCCTGCGTTGGCCTCCCAAAGTACTAAAATTACAGGCATGATCACCACACTCAGCCTTTTTGTGTAAAGCTTTTATTAGGTTCCTGTAGGCTAGAAGCAAGTCTATACAAATCAAGCATGGTATAATAGATGTTAATTAAATACATATATATTGTCAGGGAAGAATTGCACACTAGCAATTGTGGTCATTTTTTAAATGCACTAGAACAGTGGTTAATAATGAAAAATAAACAATCACCTGTGGAACTTAAAAGAAACACAGATGTCCAGGATCTATTCCCAGAGACTCTGATTGGTTAGATCTGAGATAGGGCCTAGACATGCGACTTTTTAAAAAATAAAGCTCCTTGATGGAAAATTCCCAACTGATAATGCCTGTACAGGGAAATATCAGCTTTATCATGACCCTGAAATAATACCAAAGAATTAGTTTTCAGTTTTTAAATTTAGAAAATTTCTGATTTCTGTATTCCTTTGGGGTTCTATCTATTGAATTGGACAGATCATTGATAAAAGGCATCTATGCAACTTTATTATATTATCATTGAGGTAGAACAATACAACTGCTTATTCATATTAGAAGCTTAAGAATATGACTGCTTATTCATATGAGAAGCTTAAAGAGTTGTAGCCTACATTTAACTTAGGCAAATTCAACTCTCAGCTCTCAGCAAATGAACTGAAGAACTACTGTATGGGTCCCAAGCAAAAGTCAGTTATTTCATTTATTGTCAACTAAAGATATGGTAACCTGTTCCAAAGTTGGTGGAAAAGCTATATTGGGTGTATTTTAACATATACAATATACACAAAGCTATGTGTACTGGAATTGAAAGACAATTTAAGAAATTTTCAAGAGTAATATTGATTCCATATAATGTAATATAATCTACCTAGTAGATTGCAAGTAAAATATAAGTTGATACTGTTAAAAGTAAAAATGTTATCAAATTTAATCATATATCATCTTGTGCTTTGGTTATTTTAACATCAAATTATTCTTTTTTACTTTCTAGAGATTAAAAAGCCACCAGTGGCCCCCAAGCCAAAGTTTGTTGTGGCAAATAATAAGCCAGCTCCTCCTCCTGTTGCACCTAAACCTGACATTGTGATTTCTAGTGTTCCGCAGTCAACAAAGAAAGCCAAACCGGCTATCGCTCCGAAACCAAAAGTTCTGAAGAGTTCTGTTCGAGACGTTGGGCAGTCACCATCAAGGAAAATTACTTCAAACCTGGAAGAGCATAAACAAGAATTACCTGAAAACACTGACAACTTTAATTGCAAAAATATAGGAGATCAGAATAGCGATTGTACTTTACCAACGTGTTCCTGTGGTTCTGAGTGTATCCATAAGCTTGGAAATAGAGAGAATTTGTATGTAAAGCAGCTTGTTTTAGAGCCCCTGGAAATGAATGAAAATTTAGTAAATAATAAAATTGATGAGTCTTTGACTATAAAAACTATGAGTAAATATGATTCTCATGGTGAAAAGGTCAAGAACCAGACTAAAGTAGTTTTAAAGGCAAGCATCCTAGAAGAGAAGCTCAAAGATGTCTTAACACACCGAACGTCACCTTTTATTTCCTCAAAGAAGCACAGGTCTGCAGACAACCCAGAAATGAATGGTGGCTGTAATTCAAACAGACAGTTCAGAATTCAATTTGCAGATTTGTCACCTTCCCTGTCCAGCTTTGAAAATGTTCGTGATCATCACAGTTGCCACTTACAGCTTCCTAGTGATGAATTTCAAAATTTTGAAATTTGTCAGGGTAGCAGTGAAAAAAGCAATAATTACTTTCATTCATCCAAACTAGAAGCTCTAGAAAATAGTAAAAGAGGTACTTTTATGTCTTCAGATGAAGTTAGTGGAAAATCAGAAGTCAAAGACCTTGGCCCCTTAGAAATTCACTTAGTACCATATACCCCCAAATTTCCAACTCCCAAGCCCAGAAAGACACGCACTGCTCGTCTGTTACGCCAAAAGTATATAGATAATCCTAGTGAAAGTACTGAAGACCCAGAAAATTCAAACAGTAGCTCTTCTTGTCTTATCGAAGATAGTTTGAAAAACAATGAAATCAGTGTTCTTCATCAAAATGTCTTGTGTAACCAAGAACAGGTGGACAAAATGAATCCAGGAAATAAAAGTGAATTAAATATGGATTCCAACAGTGACAGACAGGACTTAGTCAGTTCACACAAAGCCCTGGGTCATGAAACATCTTCCTTTGAAAAAATGACTCCCTCGTTAGATACAGACTCTAATTTGATTTCTGACAGCACTACAATTGATGGTTCTACTATGTCACTTGCTCCGGACAAAGGGACCAGTTTTATAAGATGCAGTACTCTATCTATGAGCCTGCCTAAGCAGCTCAAATTAACTTGCAATGAACATTTGCCTACTGCCTGTAACCTGGGGGTTTCTGCTCCTCAAATGCAAAAGGAATCTGTAATAAAAGAGGAAAGTTCCTCAAGAATTGTCCCTAAAAAACCTCAAAGACACAGCTTGCCTGCTGCAGGAGTGCTTAAAAAGGCCGCATCTGAGGAGCTTGTGGAGAAAAGTTCTTATCCCTCAAATGAAGAAAGAAATTCAGAGAAAGGTCTAGAAAGAAATCATCTTCAGCATTTGTGTGCCCAGAACCATGGTGTGTCATCCTTCTTTGATATGCCTAAACAGACTTCAGAAAAGCCAGTGTGGAAGTTACCTCATCCTATTTTACCCTTTTCAGGGAATCCAGAATCCTTGAAGTCTATCACCATATCCTCAAATAGTGAGCCTTCACCTGCCCTAACCAAGCCTAGAGCAAAATCATTATCTGCTGTGGATATGGAAAGGTGCACTAAACCTTGCAAGGACTCTACAAAGAAAAACTCTTTTAAAAAGTTGCTCAACATGAAACTGTCCATCTGTTTCATGAAGAGTGACTTTCAGAAATTTTGGTCCAGGAGTAGCCAACTTGGAGACACAACCGCAGGCAACCTCTCCCGTAGGGAACAGAAGGGGATTGAAGGTGATTGGCATGGCTTGTTGGTAGGAGAAGGGAAGAGAAGTAAACCTATCAAGGCATATTCTGCAGATAACTCCAGCCTGGAATCTCAAAAAAAGAGAAAGAAGTCTCGGGCCCAGGCCAGTGCGGCTAATGGTCTGAGAACTGAGTCTTTGGATGACCAAATGCTCTCTAGGGAGTTGTCACCTCCGGCACCTTGCAAGTCTGTTACAAGCCTCTGTGCCCCAGAGTATGAAAATATACGCCATTATGAGGAAATACCAGAGTATGAGAACTTGCCATTTATTATGGCCGGAGGGAAAACTCCGGAGTTGGAATGGCACAATTCCAGCAGCCTAGAGGACACTGATGCAAATGTGTATGAGGTAGAAGAGCCATATGAAGCTCCAGATGGCCAGCTGCCACTTGGACCCAGACATCAGCATTCCAGGTAACACCTAGGTACCAGACAGACACTTTTGCATGCATCGGTGCAATTAACCCTCAACAACCTGGTGAAATGAGAATGCAGGGGGAAAAATCACTTTGTGAGGGAATGGTTTACAAAGCTTATATTAACTTATTCCTAAGTGCAGCCTCTTTTTATCACATAGTAGGAGGGTATATTTGCAATGCAAGCTTGTAGTAGTTAACTTGTGTTAGTAACTGATTCAAAGAATTTGAACCAGTAACAGTGTAGGTCCCACAAGGAAGACCTGGAACAAAGAGGGCCTGGGGCCTCTAAGCAGCAACTCAGAAGTCATAGCAGGTTCCCTGGGGCATGAAATTGGCCCCATTCGATGAGGTTTATTTCCTAGGTGTAAAAAATCTGAAGTTTTGAAATCCATGTATTTAACTGTGCTGTCCTTGTCAGGTGCAACCTCTAAATTTGCAGAAGTCACCCCTCCTTGAGCATTGGTTATTTTACTTGTTGAAGGCTAATTGCTGACCTCAGACAGATATAGGAAAAGTGCAGGAAACACATAACTACTCTTCATTCTTCACCTTTGTATATGCACTTCCTACCTATGGAGTGCCTATTCCATCTCTCTTGTTAAAATCTTACCCCATCCTTGGTGGTCTAGCTCATCAGTCTTTGGCTTCATGAAGCTTTTATAGTTTACCTAGTAGGAAGTGTTTATTTCATATTCTGACCACCCAGTTATGCTGTGATATCCTTTAATCTAAGTCTGTCTTGTGGTATAATTATTTATTGGTGTGTCTGTTGTTCTGTGTTCAGTTTGAAGCTCTGTAAAGAGTTGTAGTCGTATCTTTTTATCCTGGCATGAGGCTAAGCAAGGGGCCTAGTAGACAATCAATAGTTGTTGTTTGGGTATGTGAGAGAATGAATGAAAAAGAGGCAAATGAAACCACCACTGCAGCTGCTTCCTTCTCTCTCCATAGCCACAAAGGTAGCCTTTGCATTGTATTTCAAGTGTTTATTTTATGTTTAACAAAAAAGCACACAGACCCTTTTTGAAGGCTTCAGATTATTCTTAGGCCACTAACTTCAGGCGTTTGAGCCTGGCAATAGTGGGGATTCAAAAAAGCATAATTGGGTGAATTGAATAAATAAAATTGTCAAACAAGTCAGTGTACCAAGTAAAGTTAATTGTTTTAAGTTCTTTTAACTGTCAGATAGTCCTAGCATTTTTCTTTATTTATAATCCTCTCTGCCCTTCCCCCTTATACCTATAAAAGGCTACTTTCCTCCCTTGCCTAATTTTTCTCATAACTGACTCCATTCTGTTTACATCTGTTATTCCCTGAACATCAATACCTAGACAAAAGCCCCTTCCTTGGCATAAATATTTCTATAGAGAACTGAAATTAAATATCCAACTTTTTTTTAATTGCATATTTTCATGCATTCTCTTCTCACCATGGAACAATTTTATTGGTACTGTCCTCTTTTTAACATGCCTTTTTTTTTTTTAATTCTACCCTCATGGTCCATTGTTTTCATGCAGCTTTAACATGCTTTTGTGTATTATTTGTGCATTTGCATAGTGAATTTGGTTGGCTTCTTCACAATATACTTACTACTATCCTTGGCTAAAATAAAATTTTTTTTCTTGAAATTGGAGGTTTGGCCATTGGGGTGAGTTTCCTGTTGGCTGTCAGGTAAATCCTGAGGGTTTACTACTATCTCTGACACTGTCTCTTCACTTCTAGAACTTGTTCTTTTTCTGGTATGCTTCTTATACAGTTAGGGTCCTGCGGCTCAGCTGGGGGAAAGCTGGTTAGGAGGCGTTCATGTACACAGCCAGCCAGTACAGCTGGATGGCATTCATAAGGCTAGTTCTTTCTGGCGGCCACAGGAAACCAAGGGCAGCTTTGGACAGGTTGCAGGCTGTGAAGGGTGAATGAGCTCTGCTTTTGAATTTCACTTTCCATGGAGATTTTTGTTTAGGCCTGGAGCAGGGCTCTCTGAACAGGCTTGAGACTCCTGAAATGTGCCAGCTGAATCAAAAGCCCTCAGTCACAGGGTCAGACTCACAGTATTGCCTGGGAGGTTGTTCCTTTTGGGAACATTGAGAGAAAGCCAAATCCAAGCCTTCATGAGGACACCTGGACACGGTGGAGTAAGATGAATGAGCAGTTGGACATACATTTCAAGTGAGCTGAGAGGATCCAAGTGGAAATCCTATTTGGTAGTCTTGGCTGTTGAAAATATACCTGTGCCTTGGAATAATTAAGTCAAAATCCAGTACCCTGCCTGAGGTTCTAAAATGATAAGAAAAGATGCAAATGAAACCAGCTTAAGATTTTTCTTGGGGAGTCATCAGAAGAGTATCTTTAAGGCATTGGTCCCCAACCTTTTTGGCACCAGGGACTGGTTTCATGGAAGACAATTTTTCAGCGGGGGTAGGGTGGGGTGCTGGACCCGTGGGTTGGGGAGTGGGTTGGGGACCGCAGATTTAAGGGATTCTCAGCCCTCAGGGAAGAAAGTGTGGGTCAGAGTTCTGGTTCACAGAGAGTCTTTAGTTTTACAGAGTCCACAAATAAAACCAACCAATTCTGGATTAGTAAACAGTCTTTTGGCGAGCCTGGGGGTGGCTCATATGACCACCTTTTTTAGAATATAGATGTTTTATAAATCCAACAGCTTAACATTTATAAATTTATACCAACATGTTTATAATTTATCAGGACACAATTGTAAGCAGTCCCCAATTCCTAATAGGGTTGTGTTCTAAAAGCTTGTGATAATTTGGATTTCAGTGTATTTCCCAAAGAAACAGTTTTGGAATAGTTGTAAAGGTCCCATTTTAGCTCCCAAATTACATTAACCATTGCTGTCTGGGCCTCCCTTCCCCGCCCCCCACCGCAGGTGATTCTCTAGGCTTCCTGGTTGGGGTTTAGCACCTGGGACCTCAGAGGAGCAAATCCACAGAGTCAGGCTGTAGGGTTTGTGGAAAGGGTGAGGTAACTAAGGAAGAATGAGGAAATAGGGGCTGGGCAGGCTGCAAAGAAGACTGTCAGGCCTTGGGAGTGATAAGGGGAAGGGCTGGTGGGGTGGGGTGGTTGGGAATTAGTAGGCAGTGAATTTCTCTGCCTCCTCTTGTCATTATTCCTGTTCCTTCTCTCTTTCCCTCCCCATATTCCTTTGCTAACTGCCTGATTCTGCTAATTGAGTTTCTGACCCCAGGCAAGAGTGGGTAGAAGAAACAGGAGGAGGGGAGCAGGGTAGGAGTGTAAGGAGTGGCTCTGGGAAACCCCAGAGTGGGAAAGAATGAACAGCTAAATCTGAAGATGAAGGATGGTGGAAGGGAAGTTCCCTTGGCTGCAGAAAGAGTAGCTTTAAGTGTTGCCAGATTGCTCATTTGGTTACTGCTGTGAATTCTCAAAGGCAGTTTTTGTTGATATTAATATTGTGAGCAACTCTGGAGTATTCCGGTGTGTTTGGGGTACAGTTGTGACACCTCTTCCCTGAAATGTTTCAGACATAACAGACCTAAAACAACTAGCAGGCAATGGGCCTTTCTGTCTCATTGGTATGCAGGTGATGAGTGCCCCCATTTACTATTATTTTTATTTAAGAAGTTTGATGTTCATAGAGAAGTTACTAAAATTTGGTATTTACTAAATTTGGTAGTTACTAAAATTTTGATATTAGAGAGTTATAGACAAATCAGCAAAATATTAATAATCGTCTCCAAAGGTTGGAATTTTCCCCTTGAAATTGAGGCAGATTTCTTGATCCTATAAAGAAAACTCTCCCTGGAAACATTCCAGGTTTTTTCCTGTGTTGTTTTAGTTTCTTCTTATTACAGGCACTTCAAAGAAAAGGTATGATAATTGGGTTTTCCGAGGTAACCCAACAAACCCAGCAAACCCTCAGTTTCTTTATTCCACAGATATCGACCATGTGTCAAGCACCATACATTCAAAGGTGAAAAGGGGTGCCTACTCCCAGGGAACTTTTGCCCAGTGAGGTGACAATTATATTACAACTTGGTTTTACTAATCCAAGCTTTGTTGGAGTTGGCTTTGTCTGAGTTGTATCCTGCATAGGGAGGGCATTAAAGACAACCTCACAGAGGTGGTATCGCTTGGACCAAGGCTTTTAAAATGGACATGATTAGATTTGGCATTTAGGAGGTTTTTTTAATGTTGGTAAGGGCAACTTTAGTGGTGCTCTGGGGGAAAAAGCCAGATTGCAGACGGAGGACTGAGAAGAGAGGAAGTGGATGGAATCAGAAATGTGAATTGCTGTCCCTTGAAACTTTGCCCAGAAGTGCCTGTCACTTGACAGGTTTGGATTTATCTTTTGGTCTTCTTCAAGAACCAGAATTCAAAATAAAATAAACTTCAAAATTATTTCTTTTTAATTAAATCCGTATACCCTCATCTCTGATGAAGGAAAGGAATAAGTTTTTTGTTTGTTCATTTGTTTCTTCTCATTTTAAACATGAGACTGGGCTTAAAGAGCTGCCGAATGGCATTCTGGCATTACAAGTCGTGTCAAATCCTGTTATGGCATTTGCATTATAAATCATCAGCCCTAGTCTAGAAGACATCTCTCTTTGGTTGCATTTACAATCTGGTGGTATCGTTGGATTTTAATATAATGATTAGAGTTTACATTAACAGCCCTAATGAGCATTTCCACGTTGTCATGTCATAGATAAGATTGTGCAGTTAGTGGGGGTTGGGACTTACACATCTCAACAGCAGCCCTTTCCTGTAGGTTATTTTCAGCATCAGCTCAGGAAATATCAAAAATTTGTATGCCTCTTTAATTTTGTGTTTCTTGTGTTGGAATCATAGCCACACAGTTTTGGCAAATCTGTTTGTTTACATACTTAGCCTACTTTTGAAACTGCAGCTAGAAGTGTTGGGTGTTATTTCTTGGCAATAATGCTTTTCTTTTTTTCCTTTTAATAAGGAATTAGGAATAAGTATCAGGAATCATATTGAATAAATATTAGGAATTAGTTAAATTGC